CGAGCCGGATCCCACCCAGGGGAGAGCCGGCTCCCGGGGATTTTTCACGGGATCTGGCCACCCCTCTGCATTCAGCACCACTTGGTTTCCGGAGAAGCTAACAGAGCGAGGCTTTGGCTGCTGCCTATAATCTCTCCAGGAAATGCCTGTTGCTGTCTGATCTTCTCCTGCAAGCACTTTTCGATGCGTTTTAGAAGTGAACTTGTTTTCGTCTCAGAGGTGAAATAGGATCATGGTCTGCTAAGGAGGGAGAGGAGCCATGCAGCATGTTGGACAGCAGACCTGAGGAACAAAGAACTAGTCTATACTCTAGACCCAGACTGGACTATGGGTCTAACTTCAGGAGTTCCACTAAAATATGTCAAAAAACAGTTTGCCATACAAAAATCAGCAGCTGACTTGGGTACTTAGTAGAAAATAAATCAGCCATGAATCATGCCAGCATACACCTGCTGGCTTCACTGGGTGCCCTTTGCTTTTGCTCTGAAAGGAGGAGTGAACAGATCCCTATTGATTTCTCCACACAACTTGTTTTCACAAGTTGCTTATCTCATACAGAACATTTATAATCAGATTTGGTCCTTGAATGCTTATAACAAAAAGACATAATAAAATTTCCAGTATAGTCAGCAGAGATAGAGAAATAGTGGGTGAAATCCTGTCCCTATTGGCAAAGTAGAACTTGAGTGGAGTCCAGATTTTCCTTAATTTTTTGTTTAGCTCAGGAAAATTCAATCTTACACATAAGTTCTTAAATTTTTTTAACTCAGATTTTAACTTAATTAATTTATTACATTCCTTATCAAAACTCTTAATGCCAACATTGTTAAATACTTGTCTTAAAAATAAATAAATATATATATATATGCAATAAAAAAATACTACTTCATCTAATATATCCAACAGCCAGAAAAAAAAAAAAAATGTCAGGTAGAAGGAATAACTTGCAAAATGAATATATTTTTAGCTGTGAGACAAATTTTAAGTTGGAAGGTTGAATTTGCCTTGCCCTTAATCCATTGTAACAGGCAGCAGTAGGTTGCTGTGCATCTTACAGCCAGGGCTGAGTTAAGCTAATGTTCAGTGTACTCTCCTTCCTAGAATGCACTTTCCAGATTAATGACATGCATCAATTTTGCTAATATCAGAGAATGAGATGGTGCCCTCTATGCAGTCCAGAAGAAAAGGAAAAAATTGCCTTTTTGCAAGTGGAGAGGGGGAGAAATTATTTTGCAGTATTTGTGACTGCAGTGCACAAGCTTATCACTACTGCAGGGACAACAGGAAAGGAGAAGGAGGTCAGGATATCATACCTCCAAGACTGTGAAATACGTTGAGAGCAAAGTACCAGAGTGATGGTGGCATGATATATTTATGTATGCAGGAACACATACATTGTGGTTTATTTCTATGCTCTACATTTCTATGCTCTGTTTCTATGCTCCTGGCTTGCTGGTGGAAATAGTGTAATACCAAAGCAGCTACAGGTAACAAAACCCAATTAAAGTTCAGTTTTCAGACAACATTCAGTATTTATAGACCGGATAAGAAATGTTCATTCCTCACTTGATCTTCCTTGATGGCTAAGAAGCTCAGAAGCTTCTTTGAGATCCTTTAATTTCTGCCACATGCAAAAGGCATTGGATTCCATCTTGCTCTTAAAATCTTACCCTGTCTTCTCAGAGCCATTTCTATCCGCATTAATATCCACTTCTCACTATTGGGTTTATCTTTACTGAAAACTCTCAGTGATTATTTTCATTCAAAAATAGATTCAGATGGATAATATTTTGAATGTATCCAAATATTTGGATCTTTCTGGAGTAAAAGGCCCTAAAACTGGCAAAAAACTCTACTACTTTACATAGGACGACAACAGATTTTTAAATGCCTGTGAAGTTTTTCTGATGAAATGGTATCTGAAAACATATCTGAGTTAAAGAATAAAATGTCTAGGTATTTCTCAAATTTTGTAAAACTAACTAAATAAATATGTATGAATATTTGCATTAAAATATTTATTTAAAAAAACCCACTAATTTTTGCATGAAAAATCTTTTCATCAAATTAACCAAATCTTTAGCTTGATAACCATCTTTAACTAATCTTTAGCTTGATAACCATATTCTCTGGCAAGAATTAGTTAGCACTTTCTACCTACCCTTAGAATTTCAAATATTAGAGAAGCTCTGATAGTATCACTTGTGTCTGAAAGATGTGCTGTTTACTCAACAAATTCTGTCCAGAGAAAAACCCAAAATAATTTGTCAATTAATGTCTCATCTTTTATTTCTATTCTTCACATAAAAAGTACTGTTAAGTTAAATTATAGCTAAAAGAAATTCTTAGGAACACTGGAATATTTTCATTTTGGAGATCTAATTGAAAATAAGAAAAGAAAGAGAACAAAAGATAAATTTCTCTTAGAAAAGAGAAAATAAGGCCAGAACTTCCATTTTGAACATGTCATAAGAGACCTGCAGGAGTCAAAAACTGCCAGTGACCTTTAGTGGTGTTCTCACCTCAGATTAACTAACACAATTTATCACACTGGTGTTAAGGTACCAGCAAAAAGAAGACAATTTGAGTTGGCAGGTAGTACTCAACTCCCCTTTAGAAATGTGCTAGTTATAGTTTCTCCATAAGCATTGCCTGCTCCTCCCACCCCCCAACCCGTTCATCCCACAAGGATCTGGGCAACATAGCTGACAAGGCATGAGAATTTTGCTGGTCTTCCACAGTCACACATGACCTTTTGTGTTTGAAAAGTATGTATACTCCTCTTTTATACTGACCAAGTTTTCTTAGAAAGCCATTTACTTTCTACTTTGTAACTCTCTTTTCAAGGAAAAGATAAAAATATATTTTCTGCAATTAAAGCATAGGTTTGCAAAATGTTGACAAAATTGACATTTTTCAGCAGTGGGTTGAGGCAACATTCTATGGCACAATTAAATGATTACTCATAATTATTTTGCAGTTAGATTACTATTCTAGTTTTTAACTTTTTGACTTTATTTATTTACATCAAAACAAAAGAAAAAAATTAGAAGACTTTTCAAATTCCATTCTCCCATTTCTGTAATGTTTTCATTCAGCAGCTGCTTGTCCAATCATTTCAAATTATATAGAAAAATTATATCTTGTTCCACATAGTTTAATGTGATAGTTCCATGACATTTAAGAATACTACATTTTCTGTGGCTAAAGAGCAAAACCAGCCTTCTAATGGCAAAGG